CTTATTGGCTCCCAACAATCCTAAGCAAGCCATTTGGCACAATAGCTATGAAAGAAAAGACAGGACTAATTGTGAAAGACAAAATTAGATTTGAAAGACAAAATTAGATTCATATAAAACGAAAAGTATAACTATCTCAAACCTTTTCTGCCCATTTTTCCTCCTCATCACCTTGCTTCCATCCAAGCAGCTTTTTTACTGCAGGTTCGTGAAAAAGGCTGCTCATCATATCCTTTAAAATAACGATTAAATAACTTTTTTATCCCTAGACTTTATAACGAAATGATCCACGGCTAATTGAAACATCATGAGCATACAATTCAGCAAGACTATCGGCATATTGGAAATGGTAGAACAGGACACAAAATAATTGGCTATTCCTGAACAGGTATATAGATATATATGATGTCAGTCGTCCTTATAAGGAACACCTCTTCAAACTTTTAGAATTTTTGTTTATAAACTAAACATTTCATATGATCTGCAAAAAAATACAAAAAAATCAAGAGAAATCAGAGAAGTATACGAAGGATATCTATTTAATCTACTATATATATATTCATAACAAACCGCCATATGTAACATCTATACTGTTTTGCGAATAATGATGAGAACGAATAGTAAAAAAAGGAAGGAAAGGGTGCTGATGATAGTTGATAAGTGACGATGATAATGATCCATTGCATTTGCAGCACACTCTACCCACAAAAATGCGTATGCTTCTGTGCAAATGTAAGTTGTCAAAAGGAGAGAGGACGATATGTTATCACCGAAAAATTCCCCGTATTACCCAGAAAATTTAATCATTCAGGGAATGAAATAACGTATGCTTTTTACTTATGCTACAAGCACTCTATGAATAGGCTTTTGAAAAAAAAAATCATATTAACAAGCCAGTCAATTGGTCATCAGCATAATCACGAACTAGGCATGAATAATCGCGACATCACTGACAATCCACTCTGGCATTAAAATTACCAAATAGTTACTTGTAAAGATAATGCGCCTGATTAACTACTACACATACCATGTAATAATACCCGATATCCTAACTACACATGATTGTAAAGGTTGGATTTATACTAAATTCCTTAATTTCTTTGACTGCGGGAATTTTACATTGATCCTAGAATAATGTCCAACTCCTCTCTGGCCATCATACAAATAATGATCGATAAGTACCCTAAGATCGTAGATGCGCTTACTCAGTGACACTATATACGTAGTAGCAAACGTGTCTACTGTAACAAAATGACGAAATATGAGAAAAAAATGAAAAATAGTGTAATTACAGGCAATTTACAGACAATAATATTTCAGAAAGTATGAATAAGATAGTGGATACGTCCACTTCACTGCATAGTTAATGGTCAGAATAAAACAAATATGAGTGACCGAATTATTACATGTTTATTTCCTAAGATCATGCTATTTTTCTGCTTTCTCAGCATCTAGTTAGAAGCGATTTATGCAAAACCAACAATAGTATGGCACGTGTTCTAACAATCTTTGACCTTCATTAACCAAAGAGATACCTGCACATCATTATTGTTAGTAATGAACTTGCTTATTTGGAAGACTTTCTTCCCTTTTCCTTTTCTCTCTCTCCCTCACTCTTTTTTTTTGAATAAGCAAAAGGGCAAATAACGATGAAATATAAATAGTAATGGTTTGATCGAGAACCATTGACTGAACATTTGCTCCAGCACAATTCTATCCACAATGTTGCCGATCATCTCGAACATTTCCTTTCTGTCATCTAACAGTCTTATCTCAACAAATTGCCTTGGAATGATGTCACATTATTGCAAATATGCTCTGAAAAAATATACCAACTGTAAGGGGCAAACAATCATATCATAGTGACAAACAATCCGTAATTATAAACACAGATATGGAAATGAAAAATGATTGGTTTCCGGATGGCATTGCACGTATGTAATACAGATATTAATAAATTTGAAGCATGTGTGAATGAATAATATATATAGGATGGCACAAGCATATAATCCATACATGTCACACCCATACTCATTACCTACCATATCACATGGTGGAAATCGTTGACCCTTAACTGACAGATAGACAGAATGGACAGAAGAGATGGGGGGAAGGAGGGAGAGAGGGAGGGGAAGCATTTTTACCTATTCGTTAGTTTTGTTCATCAAAATGTAAACGTAACCAACCATCATCTAACAACCAAATAATGGTGCCTTTTCCTTCCTGCACAGGTGTATTTGTGTGTGTGTGTATATGTGGAATCGTGGGCGTTCCAATAATTCATCATTGGAACATGTGAAAGTTTTATTGATGAAAAATGAATGAAAGGACAAGAAGGGGAAGGGAAAGGTGAAGGAAAAAGGAAAGGGAAAGGGAATGGAATGGTATGGAAGGAGTGGAATCTAGAAGACATCCAGCTCGGCAATCACCCAAACCTTGAGGGAGGACACACACACACACCAGATACTGAGAGGTAACAGTAGCAGTAGTAGTAGTAGCAGTGGGAGAAGTAGGAAAAATATGAAAACGGCCATCTTTTCATCCGTCCTTTTTTTTCCTCTGTTCTCTCGTATTAGTTTTTTCGGTAGAGTGTTCCGAAATGGAGCAAATGGACTGCATTGAACGAAAGCGGAAGAAGCATATAGACGTATCCGATACAGCTGACAGAACATATCTGTATATCGCTTGATTATTATCGTATTTATATATCATTTGTTTCGAATTTCGCGAATAGGTTAATCCAAATTGAAACTAACTAATTGGGAAGAAGTTCACTTAAGATTTTACTACTGTGATGATATTCAGGATATAATGTTGATGGAAGATACTATTAGAGAAGACGCAACATTTATCATTTGAGAATTACTGCTAATTTTATGGAGTTTTTATGAAAGTAAGATATCAAAAAAAAAAGGATAAGGGAAAACTAATTAATTCATTTTCACATAACATTTCTTCAATCACTTTTCACCCATTCGATCCATATATAAGTTTGACGTTAAATAAAAGTTTAACTATAAAATCGATCTTTCATTTAAAATGTCCTCTTGGCTAAGGCTGGCAATTGGTCTATTTTTGAAATATTTTTTGCTATTCAAATTTCCACTATTTTGAATTTTTACGATCTTTATTAATTTTTTATTCTGAAATATTTTTATGTAAAATAATCTGAAAATGATGTAAAAGCTATAATAAAAGAATGATTGTGAATAAAGTTTCTTTTTATTTTTTGTTAAAACAATACTGAGAAAGAGACAGAAAGGATGAAAAATAGCAGCAGATATGGTGGAATGCTAGAGAAAGAAAAAGATAAATGATAGGTTGCCTAATTTTGAATTAGTGAAAAAGATACGAATAATGAATGATCGATTGATTTGATGTGATTGAGGAAAGTAAGAGAAGAACTGTATTGTTCATAAAGATAAGAGTATCAACGAATTAACAGTTCAAATTACAAGAGGATCAGGAGGAAAGGATGAAACGAATTGTTCAATTTCAGATATTAAATGAAATTGATGTATGAAAGCGCCGTTATGTCGCTCAGTGTTGTCTCCGAAATTTTTGCAGACATATTGGAAGACGACGAATAACCAGCACACTATGGTATCGGGATAGAAGGATGCTAGCTGTCACAATCGCACCATTTACCAATCAAATCACACAATTATTATTCACAATCAATACCGCCATCGCCAATCACCGCTATCACCTCCATCATCATCATCATTATCATGCTTATTAATTCATATTATACCATGGATTGCCGTCAGAACGACTGCTTTTTCGCATTTTTTTCTCTTCCCTCTTCTTGAGAATAACTAAAATATCACAACTAACTCAACTTCTCATCATCGAGTTTGTAATTTCTTGCATTTACATAAACAGACTTTCTTATTCTCACACTAATTTTCATTAAGCAAACAAAATGCATGCAATTCCCGCTTTATCATTAATAACAATTGTTGAAATTTATTTGCTGACTTCTTATCATTATCAATCGTTTTATGATCAAGGAAAAAATATACGAAGTGTTTACTTGAAATATATATTCGAAAGACAAAAAAATGGATAAATTCTATATGGTATGCTCTCATAAAGATTGCAGCGGAAAGGTCACCATCGATCGGTCATTGTACATGCTTAATTTTGTCGTAATACACAACATATGATATATTGTCCAAGCGATTTTGGTATCTCAATCCTTATTTAGATGAATGTTTCGTTATTATCACATTTTGTGAAGACTACAAAAGCTCGAAGATTTCTATATATTGTGTTAAAACCTGATGATGTAATGTATGGCATTCGTCGTGTCATGATGCAATATGTGGCATTTGTTGTGTGAAAAGGATGACACGAAATAACTTTTAGGAGATTCTATAAGAAGAAAAGGAAGACAATTTATGTAATCCAAACGATGACGATGATGTTTGCTTTATGCTATGATCCTTATGATCTCGTACTAGGGTAACATTTGAGTTAAACCATCTTAAGGTAATAAGGTCATGTATTAAATATGTTTGATGTAAAATGATATATTCAATAAAAATGCAATAACATATTATTGTAAATAGAAATAGAACAAGACCATTATAACAAGATCAGTATAATCAATTCATAACAATACAATATAAAAAAGAAATTAACGACGGCAAGCATTTCATTTCATTGATAAGGACAGACGATTAGAAATTATCAAACATTTCGAAGTTAGCACGCAAAAATAAAGCTTGTTACTGTAAACATAGCAACTTTTAAAATGACAACGTCTAACACTCAAGTGGGAATATGAACACATGATTATAACGCAAAACAAATTATACGAAATTATTTAGATATAAATCCTATGAATACAATCGCCAATGAAACATGTAATTTAGTTCTATCATAAATAAAAGGTATCCACAACTACAGAGATGTATCACTGGAATAATGGCGCAAAACATTTGAAATAAAAATGTGAGCTTAAGTGTATATCAAATAGATCTCAAACGGCAGGATTATCCCTCTTGTTCATCGTCTGCTCTGCTTTTATGTAGCTTGAATAGTTTTGCAAGCTGAAAGTACAAATTCCTATATATAGCTGATTGTAAATTCTTATACATTTGAAGTAATATAAGAGCAATTACAGTGAATGTTTCACTTCTGGCAGCTTTTCCTTTCAGAAAAGGTTTGGCTACTAAATAAAGTTGATCCACAACTAGAGTATAAGTGTGAAATATAAAAATTGAAGTCAGTATGCAAATGAAACCAAAACTATAGAATTAGAGGGCTGAAACTAACATGTGAGAAAATCGTGACGTGCTTGGAATATGGACCACTGTAGGAAAGTAGGCTTTAAGTATTTTAACCAGTTACGTGTTTAAATGGACTTATGCATCTCCAAAATTTATAATAAATGACTTACTTCCTTGAAATTACTATGCTCAAGTCCGTCTGCAATCAGCCGTCGTGCTATTTCAATACCTGGACCAGAAACATTTAGCAACAGTACACCCACAATGATTTTGCCATCAAGGTAAAACACAACTCCTTTTTTGATCTGATCAGCCTATAAACTTTACACTGTTGAAAAAAGGATTTTGTCCCGTTTCTGATATTTATATATCATAAAAAAAGATTAATGAAATTGGAAAGTATCTCTTTCATGGATATTTTCTAATAAAAGAAAGTGATTAGAATGGATATAAATTTAGACACGAACAAACTGAGAAGTCAGAATAAAAATAGCATTAGTTGTCTGACCTTGTCTTTAGTATCTGCCAAAACCGACACTGTTTTCAATCCCGAATCAGTCCTTCCAACTGCTTCTAAGTGAACACTTGGTGCTAGGATGGAATAATAAGAAGATTGATGCCAGTATGGTCTGCTTGCTGAAAAAAAATCTGGCACCTGCAGAGTTGTCAACGAAGCATGAACCAAAGATGTTGCTTAACGGGAAAGCTTATAGAACTTCTATTTTCAGATTCAATTCAGAAGGAATAATGGTTGAAAGTATGGAGGGTTGCAAAAGGACAAAACAATACCTCCAGTCATATTTTCACCAGCGAGACGTCCGGTTATCTGCGCATGTTCCCAATGCTCCATTCTTCTTCGACCAAGTTTAATATCGTAAAAGCTACTTGCATCACCGGCAACCCAAACATTTGACCGAGCACGCAGTTCAGCATCAACTACATAACCACCATTCACCTATTATGAAACTGGACGAATTAATAATCACAGAGCAACTGTTATTAAGCCATTGATACCTCGAGATAGGATGAAAAATAAAAACATTTAAAAATTCAAAAACGCTAAAAAAATATACAGGATCAATTTCCAAGCCGCATGATTTTGCCAAATCCGTATCTGCGCATATACCTACTGCCACAATGATGTGATCGGTGTTTATAGTTTCTGTAATACAAAATCAATTCCTACTGAACATAATCAACAGGACGTAATTTAATGTAACATGTATTCATATGATACATGGCGTCATACCCGCTTGTTAATCGTTAAGCCCTTTATTTTTATCTACTCATGGATTAATATATCAGCAATTCACACTGTTATATTTCCTCAGTAACACACAACATCGCCTTTCCGTTTTGCATGAGCCTTCCTAACACGCATCTTAAAACGTCACACGCTCCGAACATTTAACATATTTCAAAAAATAACGATTATGATACCTCCTGTTGTTAATTGTAAGCGAAGTTTACCACTTTCATCTACTGTTACACGTTTAAGTTCTTTTTCAGGCATAACGTTAACACCACTTTTACGCAGTTCGCTGGCTGTATACTTGCTCAAAAATTGCGGTAGAATCGCAGCAACATTGCCTTTTTCTCGGAATATCTAAAATGACAGGCAGCAAAGTAATAACTACAAATTACATTCTATTTTGCTTCCTGCGAACTATATAATTAACTCCTTGAAGATCTCTGCACGATTAAATTCGATCTCCAGTAACCAAAATATTTTGGCCCGAATTCGAACTAATGAATAAGGGGGTGTGGAAAGAGGCGGAATACTAACAGGAACAGTGCTTTTCGCTACATTACAGTTTGCAACCTCAGCATATTTTTTTTAATAAGAAAATTTGCCTGACAAATTTGCAATCCTTGCTCTCCAAAGCGTCGATTCAATGAGTTCGCTAATTCTGAACCCAAAAAACCACCGCCAATAATCGTTATAGACTTGCTTTTTCGAACTATTTCATCCAATTTACAAAAGTCATCAATCTGTAATCAGCAAATTTAGGACCATATCTAGGTTTGGATGGAAAAAATACACGTCAAAGTGAAACAAACCGTTCGGAACAATGTCACTCTCCGCTTCACTTCCTCGTCAGCATTTTCGATTACTGGCAACGACTTTGGATATCCTCCTAAAATGTTTTATTATAATGAGATATAAGCAATTAGAAGCGAACAAAACGATTTAATTCTTATGTAGTCATCAGCAAGCAACCCTAATAAAAAGTTTTTACGAGTAAGATAAAAAAGGAAACAAATTAGAGATAGAAAGAGATTTATGATAAGTAGATAACAATATCCACCTGTAGCTATGAGACACTTTTGATACTTCAATGAACGTCCGTCATCAAGATAAGCTGTTTGCGTCCCCAAATCAAGTTTGACAACTCGATGTCCACTGATTAACGACACACCACCATGCTCAGCTGACTCAATTTCATATGGTGCTATGAAGAATCCTGGTGCTTCAAAATACACATCCCGTTTCTTTCCGCTATAACCTCTGTATTCCAGAGTTTTAGCTACCTAAATGAATGCACGATTTCCCTTCAATATTCCAGCATTATCATCCCGACGTATTCAAATTGCAGCCACAGTTAAGACTGATGGTTGTTCAGGTCTTTAAAAAAATAATTACGAATAAACTAACCTGGTCTTCCCCATACCACCACAGTTCCTTTGATAGCGGAGGTCGATTATACGGCAGATGTTTTTCATCACCTATTATCAGTACTTTAGCGTCTTCATCTCGAGCCCTGATTGCCAAAGCAGCGTAATATGACGCTGTACCGGAACCTATCAGCAAATAAGGTATTTCATCGGGTAATTTTTTCGGGTCCACTGTAACCTTTTTTTCCGGTCCCAATGCACTTCTCTCCTCCGACACTAGAGACTCCTCACTGGCTACTGTCTTTCTCCCCTTAATTGAAGCATCTTTCTCAGTACCAGCGCTTGACTCTGTTGCCTCCTAAAAGAATCCTAATTACTTTATGTTTCCATATTATGTTTTATCAACAGAGCAGACCAATCTCGTTTACGAATCCAGAAAATGTACTCAATGAAAGTAGAGTGAATGTATCGATAACATGACGGGCAAGTCAAAACGCTGCAATATTTCCAAATGTTATCCTATTATCGCCGCGGCCAAAAATTCGGCAGATTTTTTAGTTTTGCAATAAAATCAAACTATACTTTGGATTTTGTCACTTAACTCCGGCCAAAATCATGTCATGCCCCTCGTGGAAAATACCAATGTATTCACAGTAAGCCACATTCAAATCTTTATCGATAATTATCAGCAATTCTTAACTATCTACAGTTAAAGAAAACAGGATTAGTTAAAAGTAAGAAGCGAAATTGGGAGAATTATAGGAGATATGCGGCTGAAGCTATATAGGGAAATTAACTGGATTTCATAAATAGAGAACATAACGATATTATAAACGGCATATCGAAGTACATGAAATATCACAATAAATACTTATTTAACTAAAAAGCTAATAAAAAGTAAGTGTCCTTATAAGCCAACTTCAGATTTGAAAGAGTCGGCAATATTCCGATTAATTTTAAAAAAAGAACAGCCGATTTAAGCATTCAACGAGATACAGTTCTCAGTGTCTCTCACTGTTCAAATATGGATACACAGAACAAAAAAAAGAACAGCAGAAGCAAGGCTAAAGTTGAGAAAAGAATGCCAGATTGAAAGAAATGAGCAGCAGGAGATATAAAACACAACATACTAATTATGGAAACTGGTTTTAATAAAAGCGATCAAAAAATGCAAAGCAGACTAATTTTTGACCTTTTCGCTGCTACCAACAGCCAGCGTTGCCCCAGCCACAGCGGCGTTTGTTTTGTTTCCACCTGAACTACCGTCACTTGACGATTCTGATTTTTTGCCCTTATGTCGTTCCCGATATGACTTAACTGGTGCTCGTCCATTGTATGGCCAAATGTCTTCGATGAAAAATACCTAAAATCACTATTGCCAACACCTTATAATACAGAAAAATTTGGATATCTGCTGCTTATTGATAATCATCAATGGTCTTGCCACAATTGATTATATATTTGGTTCCAGGTCTTCTTTAATCGGTGAAAATTTTGGTGGAAATTGATCTTTTATATCTCCAGATACAGAATATTAAAAGATACAAAGAACAATTCAAGGCAAACTAACCCAATAAAAAGTTACAGCAAAAAGTATTAAGGAGCTATAGAAATACAAATTGAAGGTAGGCATAAAGTCTTTCTTCGCTTCTTCAAATTTTTTGAAAGGAATTGGTATATCATCGTGAGTAGTGGGAGGACCTGGATTAATATGATGCCAATCCTCGACTTTTATTTTAGCCTGCAATAATTAAGTAAGGATATGAATCAGATCAGATCGTAAAGGCATGATTATATATGAACACATCAAAAGTTTGATTTTTTGGACGGTCGGTGGAGATACGACATTGGTTTTCAGGCCGGTAGAAATTGAACCACGAACGGAGAAAGTATACTGTAATGCTCGACTAAATTGCCTTACGTTTTACCTTTGAGAAATAATATATATCGAAAAAGTTTTTCAAACATAGCCAAACCTAGGGGAAACAATAGGTTAAAGGCCATAACAAAAATACAGACCAGCTTCATAAACCATTACAATTAAAAATAAAACCACTCATCTACCTCGCTAATAAACAGTTCAAGCAACATCCTACCAATGAAAAAGTGAAATTAAAAAAAGAATTAACACCGAGTCACACTCACGAACACATAAAACAAATAACCGCACAAATCGCAGTTATCAGCTAATACATCAAGTCACACGTGAGTATAACACTCCCATTCACAATTCTTGCATAATAAAAATTCTGATCGGAATATATTACAAAATGACGAAATACATCAAAAACATCGACGAACCAATTTCTGCAATCCTGCGGGTAGTGTCTTTAGCTTATCATCTGATATCGTGCTACTGCTACTACTACATCTTAATATTATAGCAGTTACAGGATTGAATTTGTATACGAGTTTGAGACGATGTAACTGTGGCCCAACCATACAAAGCCGTCCTAGCGTCATCACTCCCTGAATGATTAAACGAAATCCTGCAACATATGCTATATAGATGTAGCACGAAAATGTTATGACATGATTCTATATGTTAACCACACACACACACATGTACGTGCTCTTAGTCACGTAGTCACACGAATGCATCCGCCTACGCATACATGGCATCCTAACCATAACCCCACGACGTGCTTCGTTATGTTATATCTTGAACTGCAAGAATTTTACGCCACTGAATAGAAGCGCGATTTAGATAATATTCCATTTGTGAGACGAGACGTAAGCTGTAGCCCAAAATTTCGGGCCCGAACCCAAGAAATTGAATTTAAAGAGTAAGACGCTATGTGCAGTTCTTGTCGTTCAACTTGCTTAGGGTATAGTAAAGTTCAGGAAGCATATATAAAACTTCACCAAGCAGATCTACGATCTATCCCCTACCATTTATTTAATGATTCCACGTGAGGAAGTCCACATGCTTATGTGCGTGAGTGTGAGCAAAGTTATGCACACGAATAGGACATAAATATGACGGGCTTGAGATACGAATATCCTACAGACCACATCATTGTATGCCATCTTTTATGCTATAATAACATTATGGTATGGGTGGAGTAAAATATTCCTTTTATCTTGCATCATTTGAGTGTTCATAATTATTTGCCAATAGGATCGAAATACGTTGTTAGACACACCTGGTAGCTATAGATCCTAAATGATCCCAACTATAATCAGCTGACAAGTCAAAAAATATCACAAATTTCAGGATACATATTTCTCACAAAGTCGTTTCAAGACTTGAAGTAAATTAAAAGTGTCATTTCAACATTTCTACCCATGTATTACCTACTGTTTCTAGTATCACGATTTAATAAGAGATGTCATACCTAAGGTTAGAAATTCTAATGAACCTTTTGGTTGATTATGATCACATATCTACCACAGATCAGTGATGGAAAGCTTTCAAATCTTATTCTGGAAAATAGATAACTTTATCAATGGAAAGAGGCCAGGAAGAAAGGAGATCGTGCAATAGCTCGAACTAATGCATTTGAAAATAATGAAATATGTAATATGTATTCAAGTGATGAGCGCCAGCAAATAACTAGGCTGTTGGTGTCCATAGTAGATACAGTAAAAATGTATTTATTTTTATTAAATCTGAAATTAGCGAAATCAAAGAAAAAATAACTTTGTCCAAACGCTACAAAAACAAATTACAAGCATCAACCGCTGAGTTGTTCATACAGTTTGGGCACGTAGTCATCATACTGAGCCTGAAATCCAAAGTACACTTTCCTAATTTTAATTTTATTTCTTTGCTCTTAAATGGTCTAAGATTTCACAACGTATATATACTCCCAAAAACCGAATCGAATTTTACGAAATTCCGAAATTACCTGATAAAAATTTCCAGCAATTGGATTTCCCAACATGTGTTTCGTAGCAAATTTGTTGATTTTGAAATTTCCGCGATTTGCGCCTGATCTGTTGGTGAGATGCCCGTGATCGGTATCTACGATTTTTTTAGGCTGTTTGTAAACCAAAAAGACATAGCGGTGAAGTCCTACAAATGAAGTAGAGTCGAGAATTGTTCGATTATCTAAATACTCCAACATATCTGTTATTATTTGGCTTGACTTTTTTATAAAACATAACAATGTTATTATTTACCTGTGCCTTTTGGCGGACCTGATCCAACATACTCGGAAAATACATCACCTTTGCCGACGTCTTGTCCAGGAATATTAGTTACCAACCTGTGAAAATAGATTTACGTCTGAAACACTTTTTCTACCGCCGCGAACTTCCCATTGAAAATTTAGAACAGCTAAATTCTCACGAATAACAAAAACATGATCACCTACCAGTGGTGCCATTCTCTGTACGTGGGCTTTTGTCGAGATGGTGCGTCCGGGTCTAAAATTTTTAGTTCAACTGTTAGATTAATTTATAATAGCTGTAGTTAAAATCAATAAGAGTAGCTTAAATGGTTAGATACCAGTCATAACAAGTGTGTACAAGCTTTTAGCATCCGCTTCCCACGACACTTTCGGCTCATCCTTCACCTGCGTCGGAGTAAGTTCATTGCCCAGATTCACCTAAACATTTTTCTGTTATTCTTCATTCTCGCACGATAATTAAGCAATACAAAACGCGAAACAATTCATACCAAATGTGATATCGCTTTAGTCTGAATCTGAGGAGCTAAGCTTTTTTTGTAGCGAACAATAGGTAAGGCATCCCGAAGATCCTTGAAGTAAATGATAGCATTTACTGTCAGCTCTTTTTTAATCCCACTGACGGATCTTCGGGATGTCTTACCTATTGTTTGCTACAAAAAAAAACTTAGCGTCTCAAATTATCTTTTTTATCCATAAGGTAGACGATATCGCTGATAACTAATTAATTACTATAGTGTGGTCTGCTAGTCTTATACATTCAACCAAAATGTATTCATACTTGCCATACTTACTTGTCTGTATTCTTCAAGTACTTACCTTAACACCACTATTGTAATCGACACTGATCAATTTGGTAGGAGCTGCTGATATAACATCCGGGACAACTTGATGCTTTCTGAATGCTTCTTCTACTGACATCATGATATTACTTCCTCTGCAATTAGCACTATAACACATTTGCTATATTTTTTGAACCTGCCCTCTTCCTAGATGTTCTACCTTCTTCCTTTTCAAATGACATTAACCCAACGTCGAAATCACTAATTAACACTGCTCTTCTTGACATACTGAATTCAGAAGCATAATATTTGAAAACCCATTCCAGCAGTATAAATCCTTTTATTAGCTCCGGTTCGTCTTTCGTAACAAAAAAATTTTTAAACTGAAAATACTCATAGGTAGAATGTAATGAGCGAAAGAAACAAAAAAAAACTAAAGCAAATGGCTACAGGGTCACCCGGACTATTGCGTTAATTTCCGCTACGTATTTCAGTCCTGAAAGCGACTGGATAATATATTACACAGTCTTATCTAATAATCATCTGCTGAATATACTGATTAAGTAACTTATATCAGGCTCGGTTATATCGCTAAATTAGTGGGTAGTAGATAGTTTGTAAACCAAATGAAAAAAAAAAATTATGTTAATAAGTTGGGGATAATATTAAATCAATAACTAAATGAGAAAGCAAAGCAATATGGCTGTTTTACATTGAATAAAATGAATGTAATAGGTACTTGGGGCTTAGGTTACCGATAGGATGCACGAAAACTCACTCTTCAGCAAATATTGGATACAACACTACAACGATCATTACTAGCAAATAATGCATTATCGTGCACATTATTCCCAAAAAATGAGCAACCAATCCTGAAGAAAGTGGGAATTGCCTTACAAATGAATCATCTATTCATTCTTGAAGAAAACGATCATTTAGAAGTCATATTACATCAACCTCAAATCATTTCATTAGTCGATCAAATTATTCGAGAAGGCAAAATTCAAAGTAAAGAGTAATTCAGTTTTACAAATGAAAAGGTACTTAATTAAATTATTTATATAATATAGATGAGAACACTCGATGTATTACTAATAAAGACCTTGACCGATAAGGAACTCACGATTACTAATAAAGACCTTGACCTATTGAATTAATTGGAATACAGACAAAAATTAATAACATTTCCATCCCTATTCCTGTTTCGAGAAAGATTTTTTATTGACTTCTAACAGTATTTCGCTTCATCATATTCAAATTATTTGTGTTATTCCCCTTTCAATCCGTTTTGTTTTTTCCCTTTTTGGTTCATACCATTTGCTCTTTCTGCTCTGGGATAGTTCCTCTAACGAAGGCAATTGTATGTTGCGAAGTTTGACAGACAAAACTATTTGCTCTCAATACTATGGAAAGAACAATGATCGAATGCAAAAAACAATGATCGAATGAAGGCCGATCTACAATATTTAAATAAACTATGGTAACACTTCTAAAAAATCTACAGGATTCTAATCATTAGAAATCATCCTGTTTTATTAAAGATATGAATATTCGCTATATTCCTTCTTCTTTATTCGACCCTTATTCGTTATAATAAACTATCTCATTTCATTTCACTTCATAAACTAACATTATCCAAGAATCGAACAGAACTGTTTTTTTTCTTAACTGTTACCTATTCAATATCCAAGATATTCGAAATTAAATCTCTCCTCACTAATCCGTTTTTCTGCATAACTTTAATTATCTTCCTAATCATTTCCGTTTATCATCAATGGAAAATATCGAGAAAAGTACGGAGATGCTCCACAGGATAAAATGAAGCACTCATTGGATTATTTCCAGCATTTCATTAGCACCTAATAATAATTAAGGATTTACTTACAGAGAGATAAGCATATTTCCCAGAATATAACCTTACTGATTAATAAGAGCTCAGAATATGAGAACTTGAATATGTTTGTAACTATGCTTCAATAAGCTCCACATTCTTTATGTAATCATACCGTCTGGAAAAATCAGTCACTCTCAATTGAAATATGATATATTAGGAGAATAAAAGATATTCCTTATCATAATAACAATCGTTTGCATGACGACTAAAGACAAAATACCAATATCAAGCACAGCTTTTTCGCATCTAAGGCAAACCCTCGTGAATAAAAACGGATAAGTTAGACAGAGATGACATTGCAACTCTAAAGCAAATTAAATCATTATAAATCCACTTGCAACTATGATACGCGGAACAATCGCTTGTCAAAAAAAGATGGCATTCGATTATAAAGCAGCAGTATGATTAAGAAGGAAAGAAATGTTGTTAGATTATGAACAATGAAATTAAAATGATCCACTATTCGGATACAATGGAGAGACCTTAAGCGCTTTGACATTCCTGTTTCGGAATAATCGGCCATCTCAGGCTTTCCATCCTAAGCATTTTAATATAATTTAGCCCAATTGAAATGTTTAGCTTTTCAATATTAACAGTGAATGGAAATGGGCTAAATTATTTGATCCTAACTTTGACCTTAATGAAAGGAATGTTTTGCTTAGTGGTACGATCTATTCCTATTCAAGAGCAATTTCAAGAGTATGAGCGAAAAGTATACCTCAGCCAACTAAATCTTTGCTGTGTTACAAATGTGATGATATTTGAAGACTGATATAATGAAGCAAAGACACTGAAATAATAAGGTTTGAGAACGATCGATCGAGCAAACGACATAAGTTAAGTTACTCGCCAACAACTGATAACGATATCTGGAAGAGCAATGAATATAAACAATGCTTCTGCACATTGTGCCTTCCATATGAAGATAGTTATTTGAATCAGGCGGGATAAACAAACAGAAAAGAAAAATAGAAAACAACAAAAATACCGCATCCCGTACCTATACGTACCAGTTATATGTTTCCAAAAGTAAAGATATGAAAAATAATGCTAGTTGGTGATCCATATGTATCAGCTGTACTTACCAAAAAAGAGTAAAGAGATAAAAATAATATTAGTTGATGTAACAGTCAAAAAAAAATTCATTTCATTCTGCACTAATTTAAGTTTGTTCCAAATTTTTTTTTAAAATTATCGACAAAAATTATAAGTAGTTTCCGTTTTGATGGCCTGCTTAAAGCGGTAGAAAATGATTCACACTGTGTAGGCTTCACTTATACCATATAGTTTAACATATCATCTTGATGAATGTAGCAATTTCCAACGTTAGAATAATGCCGCAAACTATAACTTAAGTCATACTAAGTATTCAGATCGAAAAATGCTCTTTATCAAATAAATAACGACAGCTGACGTGAATGGTGCACAACGTACAACCCACAGAATAATCATTTTATTTAAATAACACAGAAAAATTGGCTTAGAAACTTAGAATGAGCTTAATTTAAATGTAGAGATAAATAAGATAGCTTTCTCGTACTCTTAACTTTTATCTTCGCCCAATTCAAGATACATTCATATGTTTCTTCCTCCATCTATTTCTTCTTTTCACTCAATCTTTTTGATAAAATTATTTGTATAATGAAAAAATCGTGAAAAAATCACTTCTTTGTATAATAGCGTAAATCATTAGAATAAATAGCGTTAATGACATATTTGATAGCGATGTTAAAGAGTTTCGCAATCAAAGGAATCAAAATCCCTTGATGCATTACGGTAGCTAAGCGATAGAATCGACCATGGAACGGATCGTTTACTGCTGGACACAGTACGCAGCCCAGATTTGCTTCTGTCATCTACAAACTAATTATTAGCATCCATTATTCTTACCATTATTGCATCAAAATTTTATGTGGCGGTGATCAGTGAAAACGAACTATCTGCATTTCGAATCATCTCTGAATGAAGTTTTTGAAGTAGAAACAGTCATTCGTTATTCATCAAAGATAAATTCTCTACAATAAAAACATTCTTAATGAAGGAAGTAATTTATACGGGAAAATTTTTTTTTGTATTAAAATTTGTAAAATCGGTAAATAGCTAACCCATCCGAGAAGTTGTAATATAGTAAAATGATAGAGAAGGATGATAGAAAAACTTAATATAGGCCACGCAGAACTTTGAAATGATTCCAGCAAGAAAGTACCTGGAAACAACAACTGCTTTTAATAATATTTTCATGGTTTTTTACTTATTGCCATAAGGGCAGAAAAAACTCTCATTTTCTTAGAAAGAAGATAAAAGTCAAAATCACAAAACACATTAATGTAGTGTCTGTTTATAAATTCATATGATTTAAAAAAAATCATACCATTGATATAAACTATAGAAAATGGGACAGTGAGTATTGCTATATGCTGAATAAAATACACAAGAACTTCACCAGGTAGCTGAAAAATATTTCTCATGCATTATATCAGTTAAATGAAACGTGATTTAACTGATTTAAAACGAATTCTTCTTTTTCTTTTCGGATTTTGTTATACACTGCTGTGTATTCAGAAAAAACTCCACATGTCTTGGAATATATATTACAGGAATCTTCAGCAAACGCAATCAAACATATTCATTATATTAAAAAGGAACGCCAAAAAAGCAAATCTTTGTTCGTTATTTATTCGCAGTTTTGATAATGATTTGTTGGCCCGAAGTTTTTTTATGTTATGCTATCCTTTTCAATAAAAATACTTACCACACGAGAATTTACTGATGGAAATGCAATAGCCATCAGTGCACCGGGCAATAAATAAATATGAAAACGAAAGAGGAAGCACATTTTACGATTACCGACTTCTAATGTGAGAAGCAATATTTGCACTATCGTCGCAATATGACATGGATTTAATATAAATATACCTACCCTGCAATAACTCATTCAAGATATAATCTGCAGAATGGACTAATAACACTGTGACCTTCTATCAAGGAATATAAAATTCGGATCGCTTACATTCGGTATAGCATCTACTTGTAACTGCAAAATTTTAATGATGTTATCACGAAGAAATTTGGTATTATGAATTAGCTGGCTATCTCGATATATTACTTAGCATTTCGAACCCTATTACTATATCAATAATAAACGATAATAAGAAAACAAATGATGGTACCTCCTTGCCAGCTTGTAGATTATTTCAAAACCAAAAATAAAACAATAAAAGGCAATAACAGAATATCTGACAAGCTTTTTATTATTGCTGAACACCGTATTGCCTTTCTTGGTGGAAGACTGTACCTTTTCAGAAGTTGAGAAATCGAGTAGCTGAAAAAAGATGAATAGAATTATGCTGGAATTTTACTATATAATTAAAAACTGGGAGAAGATAATGCACAAAAATGAAAATGTCATACTTAGAATATCACATAGTATGTAGCGAAAGATACTCTTTCAAGAATGAGTATTACAGTCTACTCAGTTGAAGCTACAATAAAGGAGAATAAAAATGAGACTGACAGTATAGATAAGACTCGTGAAGAACTGGAAAAAACCAAAAAAGGGTAAATTTAGATAACCTGTGATGCGTATTTGCAA